ACCAAAGCACACTGATGAATGGCCTTGTTTCTGTTCTGTCTGTCCATGTGTTATGAGATTAAGGAGTTTTCATCATGTCTTCTGACTGCTGGTTGGTGTTCATGGATGCGCTCTACCAGCCTTCTGCCTGTCCATCCTACATAGTGTTTGTTACAGTCCTGTAGAGCTACACATATTCGCCTCTATTAGTAAGAGCAATGAAGAGTTATCACTAAAGCCGCCTGCTCCCAAAAGCAGAATCTGGGCAAATTCCCTCCCAACCCCCACCCCACCCCATCACATTCCCCACTTATGGTGGAGACATGAGTCTAGGAGGATGGTCAAGTTGTTGACCTCCCATTTCAAGAGGAAAGCAACACTGCCCAGAATTAGCAAAGGGGCCATCAGAAACTCATGCTTTCTGGATAAATAGCTACTCTGTCTTGCTGGGATTCAGCATCACCTATTTCATGCTAGTCAGATCCTTAGAGTCTAGATACTGGTTCAGAAAATCCACAGTCTTCTGCCTGATCCAGGATAGGTATAATATTTTGATTGATTGTATTGATGATATCTTACCCTGAATCGATTGATGACTTTTTCCAGAAGTTTCATAAAGATGTTAAGTAACATGGGAGAAAACACTGAGCATTCCAACACCCCATGTGGGGTATTCTCTCATTAATATTGCAAAATGTTTAGCAAACCTCTCACAGCAGCCTGAAGGAAGGCTTCCCCAGAAGGTTGGAGATAGCCTTAAACACAACTGATGGAAGACATTCTGCTGGTGCTGTGGTGTTTCTGTCACTTCATCTCTTAGAGCTCCTTGGTGAAAAATGGAAGCCCTTGGGATCAGCTGACAGGAGAAGCCACTTGGGGCAAGCTTGTCTAATACCCTCATCACCTCTATACAGTATCCCCATGACCAACAGGGGATGTGGAAGAACTGCTCCCTAATGAAATGCTATGCAGAGTTTTGACAGGGCATTAGCATTAAACTCACACTAAACTTTGGCTCATGTTTCAGAGGGATATCATTATAATCCTGGGCTTTTTACAAAGTGCAAAGGCAGATTTATTCATAGAAAGGCAAAGGTAGGTTTATTCTTCATTACTGTGCAGATATACCTTGCATAAGACAGCAGTACCTGAGAACTTGTGTGGATTGTCATTTTCAGGGCCAGCCAGGACTACTTGGACAGCAAGGATCCCCTGGGCCATCTGGAGTGGTGGGCATACCAGGACTGCCAGGCCACAAAGGGGACAAAGGTGAACGAGGTCGACCAGGCATAACTGGACCCAAAGGAGAAGTGGTAATTTTAAAACTTCTAAGAAGTCAACCTCACTGTGAAGAACAAATGTAAGTAAGTAGGTAATTGCATCATGTGTTCCTTTTCATTATAGGGACAAAGAGGAGTCACAGGGTTTCCTGGTGCAGATGGAGTTCCTGTAAGTACTTGCTCTTTCCGTATACTGAAATTTGAAAGTGTCGTGAGAGTATTTCCTGTAAATAATTCAAATTATTATAAATAAATAATGCATCTGATAAAATAAATACTTAGCTCATTTTTTTCTCTAACCAAACCAAAATGGCTCACACTAGTATAAAATACAAGATCAACATAAAAATAAAACCATAACCGTTTTTTAAAAAGTTATTTAGACGATGGCTGAAATAAATGTTTTCTAGCTGCTTACAGATAGGCAATGCTGATGGATTTTCATGGGGCAGAATCCCATGCTCTTGGTGGATCTTGGGTCTCAGAAATAGTCAGGAGAGCAGAGCAGAGAATTAATATTATGCATACTGAAGAGAAATCCTTTTTTTTTACTGTTTACTTATTTATTTACTCGATTTATATAGCTGCTAATCTCACTTTTACGTGACTCTACGTGGCTTACAATAAAACAAATAAAAACACAAAATACATAATACAGAACAAAAATAAAAGCACATAGCAGCCAGGCATGATCTAACCTATCATCCATACAACCAGGAGATGGGCTCTAACCCACACCCAGGGCCCCAGGCTCAAGCACAAAGCCAGGTTTTCAAGCCTTATGAAAAGCTAACAGGGATGGGGCCAATCTAATCTCAGGGGGATGATGTTCCAAAGGGCAGGTGCCATGGCAGAAAAGGCTCTCCTTCTGGGCCCTGCCAGATGACACTTTCTAGCTCACAGTACCCAGATCGTGCCCTTCCTGCCAGATCAGATAGGATGGGTAGAAACAACTGGGAAGAGACAGTCCCATAAGTAACCCAGTCCCTAAGCCATGAAGGGCTTTAAAGGTGACAACCAGCACCTTGAATTACATCCAGAAGCACACTGGAAGCCAATGCAGCTCACGGAGCAGTGGTGTCACATGTGCCAAGTAACTGGCACCAGAACTGCCTGCACCACTTCATTTTACACCAGTTGAAGCTTCTGAATACTCTTCAAGGGCAGCCCCGCATAAAGCACATTGCAGATCTGGAGGTCTCAAGGGCATGAGTGACCATGATCAGGGGCCCCTGGTCCAGGAACAGGCACAACTGACACAGAGCCCTAAACTGTGCAAAGGCCCTCCTAGCCATAGCTGCCATCTGCTCTTTGAGCAGGAGCTGTGAGTCCAGGAGTACCCCCAGATTGTGCACCAGGTCTGTCTGGGGCAGTGCCACCCCATCCAGAACCAAAGACGGAAGCTCCCCAGAACTAGGAAGTCCAAAAACCCAGAGCCACTTAGTTTTGCGTGGATTGAGATGCAGCCTGTTGCACCCCATCCAGGCCCCACAGCTTCCAGGCACTGAGACAGAACTTCCATGGCATCCTGGGGTGGAGATACAAAGCTGGGTGTCATCAGCATACTGATGATATCTCACCCAAACTATTGAATAACCTCACCCAGCGGCTTCATGTAGATGTTAAACAGAAGGAGAGAGAGTACCGAGCTCTGAGACATCCCACAAAAGAGGGGCTGCCAGCTGGATCTCTCCCCCATCAACACCAACTGGAACCAACTCTGGAGGAAGGAAGAAAACCAGCACAACACCGTGCTGCCTACTCCCAACTTCCAGAGCCGAACCAGAAAGATACTGTGAATATGGTATCAAAAGCTGCTGAGAGGTCAAGTAGAGCAAGGATGGCTGCGCTACTCCCATCCTGCTCCCGCCAGATGTCATCCAAGAATGCAATCAGTGCTATCTCAGTTCCATACCCAGGCCTGAACCCTGACTGAAAGGGGTCCAGCTTATCTGCTTCTTCCAGAGTCCTCTGAAGCTGCAATGCA